CCTCATTTCTGTTTTTCAATTTGTTAGGACTTGAGTAATTATTAGGGTGATCGACTCGATTTTTCAACCGGTTTTAAAACCGGTTTTTTTCTGCTTTACCAGTGTCGGTTTTTTCTTAATGTTGATTTTTCGAATATCGAATAACCCGGATTTTTCACTTTTTAAAAACCGGTTTCGAATACTTTATTTGCTTTGTATTCAAAGATTATTTAAATGAAATTTTTAAGTAAATAATAATACAGCCCGCCTAAATTTTAAAAATATTCGAGTCGAGGAGCTTGCGTATATTTTTCTAAAGCTCCTTTGGTTAAACTTTTTTGATTTTCCTAATTAATTAAAAAAAATTTATTTGTAAAATTGATAACTATTTGATAAAATTTTATCAATCTTAAGATTATATTCCAATTACAATAATTAATTTACGGCTGAAATTTTATGGAAGTGTTGGAATGCCTACGCAAATTTCCTAAACAGGGCTTTTAAAATAAGCTAGGATTACATAGTACCTTATGTTTAACAGAAGTGTCCCACTTTTTTCCTAATTTTTTTATATTAATGAAATAATGTAAATCAGACGACTAGATCTAATGTTATACTCTTTTAAACTGTTAAAAATCATTTCGGGCCATGTTTTATTAATCAAATTTAAACATAAACATTAAGTTTTTCAAATTAAAATATGTTTTTTTATTTATAATGAAAAACCGGTTAACCGGTTTTTTCTGAATTTGAAAAATATCAACCGGTTTTTTTAAATGTCAACTATTCGAACTATTCGAAAACCGGTTTTTGGAAAATGTCGAATAATCGATCACCCTAGTAATTATCAAGCAAGAAAGTATTATAGGGCATGGCCAACCATATAATATCCTAGCTAAAATCGCTAAACAATACATATTGGTACTTTAACTGAAAGAATTTCAGCTAGTAAACTCTTCCCTAAAATACACTGCAAAAAATCTGCTATTGAAATATTTCATATCTACCTTAACCTTATGATTGCTTAGAAGAGAAAAATGCTTTCTTTGTACATTCTCCCATCTCTGTCCCGTTAATACCTGTGAAAATTTAAATTTTGTCGCTTGTTAAATTATGTTGCTGCGCTACACTTAAGCATGTACCTAAGAACAAAAACTTCGCTATACAACCGTTAGTTAGTTATTCCTAACAATATGCAAGCTGTAAGTTGGAAACGCACACAAACACAATAGATTTACTTAATCCTGGGTCATAAAATTAACAAGCAATAAAATTTACAAAATTTGTATTTGCTGCAAAACATGTATTGCTGCTGTTCCTAATAACTTACCAACAAAATAAGGATATTCCAAGGCTTTAAGTTATAGACTAAAATCCATATACCAAAAAGGACATTTTAGTTAATACATACAAATGTATAGGATAAAACCGAGTTTTTCCCAAAAATAAAAAAAGCAACAATAAAATTTAAAAGGTTGGTAGGAAAATGAAAGATATTATGATTTGAAAAGTAATTTCTTACATTAGTATAGTCTAGGCTAAAGACTAAACAATACACTACACAAAAGACTAGGCTAGAGAATACACTATAGACTAGACTCTAGTCTCAATAGTCTAGGCTAGAGACTACACTATAGAATATAGTCTAATATATAATCTAGTCTTTAGTCTAGTCTATAGTCTAGTCTATAGTCTTGTCTACAGTCTAGTCTATAGTCTAGTCTATAGTCTAATCTATAGTCTAGTCTAGTCTATAGTCTAGTCTATAGTCTAGTCTATAGTCTAGTCTATAGTCTAGTCTATAGTCTAGTCTATAGTCTAGTCTATAGTCTAGTCTATAGTCTAGTCTATAGTCTAGTCTATAGTCTAGTCTATAGTCTAGTCTATAGTCTAGTCTATAGTCTAGTCTATAGTCTAGTCTATAGTCTAGTCTATAGTCTAGTCTATAGTCTAATCTATAGTCTAGTCCATAGTCTAGTCTATAGTCTAGTCTATAGTCTAGTCTATAGTCTAGTCTATAGTCTAGTCTATAGTCTAGTCTATAGTCTAGTCTATAGTCTAGTCTATAGTCTAGTCTATAGTCTAGTCTATAGTCTAGTTTATAGTCTAGTCTATAGTCTAGTCTATAGTCTAGTCTATAGTCTAGTCTATAGTCTAGTCTATAGTCTAGTCTATAGTCTAGTCTATAGTCTAGTCTATAGTCTAGTCTATAGTCTAGTCTATAGTCTAGTCTATAGTCTAGTCTATAGTCTAGTCTATAGTCTAGTCTATAGGTCTAGTCTATAGTCTAGTCTATAGTCTAGTCTATAGTCTAGTCTATAGTCTAGTCTATAGTCTAGTCTATAGTCCTAGTCTAGTTAGTCTATGTCTAGTAGTCTAGTCTATATCTAGTCTATAGTCTAGTCTATAGTCTAGTTATAGTCTAGTCTATAGTCTAGTCTATAGTCTAGTCTATAGTCTAGTCTATAGTCTAGTCTATAGTCTAGTCTATAGTCTGTCTATAGTCCTAGTCTATAGTCTAGTCTATAGTTTAGTCTATAGTCTTGTCTATAGTCTGGTCTATAGTCTAGTCTATAGTCTAGTCTATAGTCTAGTCTATAGTTTAGTCTATAGTCTTGTCTATAGTCTAGTCTATAGTCTAGTCTATAATCTAGTCTAATTAGTCTAGTCTATAATCTAGTCTATAGTCTAGTCTATAATGTAGTCTATAGTGTAGTCTATAATTTAGTCTATAGTGTAGTCCTATAGTCTTGTCTATAGTCTAGTCTAAAGTCTAGTCTATAGTCTAAAGTCTGACCTATAGTCTAGTGTACGCTTGTCTAACTTATAGTCTATTCAAAATTCTGTTCTATTTTCTAGTGTATAGCCTCGACTATACTTTTGTCTATAATTAGTAAAAAAATTCTTTAAATTTCCTTTTGGGTCTTTCATTTTCCAAACCAGCAACAGGACTTTTAACATTTCTCATACTTACTTACACACTACCATCTACAACTTCAAATATTTTCATTTCATTGTCTTCTCTTTCAACACCCAAGGTTGAGGTTTATTGTATTTGTCAATTGTCTGCTGCTGCCAGGAAGAAATATACACATATTTTTATCCATTCTCATTGTTAAATACAAATCTATTGTTTTGTTTTCGAAGAAACAAATTTCCAAGAATTGACTCATTAGCATGCTGAGCCAAGCTTTAGCATGAGCTAAAAACAAGGATACTAAACAAATACCTTACTACGGCTCAACATGCCTCAAAAAAAACATTTTTTACTTTAATCCAGATCTCTGCATGTTCTTAAATCCTTTTTTTGGCTCAATAGATATTTAGAATTCTGCTTGTGTTATTTTTTGGGATCTACGGTATTAGTTTAGTTAGTAACGGTTTATAAAGGTTACATATTGTTTGTTTTTTAGTTTAGTTAGTTACAATGTTAAGCAGCAGGACTTTCTTTTGGTATAAAATATTAGGGAAAATTACAACAAGGAAACTAAATCTGCTGGGTTTAAGGACAAAAACATATATTTTTGTTTAAATACAAATCTAAATTAGTTTTACATTTTACATTTAGGAGTAGGAGTGCAGCGATATAGCAATTTGGTAGAATTTGCTAGAAAATATTATATAGACTGATCTATAGTCAAGACTATAGACTGATCTATAGTCAAGAATACAGACTAATATATAGTCAAGCCTATAGACTAATCTATAGTCAAGCCTATAGACTAATCTATAGTCAAGCCTATAGATTAATCTATAGTCAAGACTATAGACTGATCTATAGTCAAGACTATAGACTGATCTATAGTCAAGACTATGGACTGATCTATAGTCAAGACTATAGACTGATCTATAGTCATGACTATAGACTGATCTATAGTCAAGACTATAGACTGATCTATAGTCAAGACTATAGACTGATCTATAGTCAAGACTATAGACTGATCTATAGTCAAGACTATAGACTGATCTATAGTCAAGACTATAGACTGATCTATAGTCAAGAATACAGACTAATCTATAGTCAATCCTATAGGGCGATATATAGTCAAGAGTATAAACTGATCTGTAGTAACACTATAGACCGATCTATAATCAAAACTATAGACTAATCTATAGTTAAGACTACTAAAGCTGAACTAGAACTGAACTAGAACTGAACTAAAACTGAACTAAAACTGAACTAAAACTGAACTAGAACTGAACTAGAACAAAACTAGAACAGAACTGAACTTGAACTGAACTAGAACTGAACTAGAACTGAACTAGAACTAAAAATGAACTTAAACTAAACTAGAAATTTACTTGAACTGAACTAGAGCAGAACTAGAACTGAACTAGAACTGAACTAGAACTGAATTAAAACTGAACTAGAACTGTACTAGAAGTGAATTAAAACTGAATTAGAACTGAACTAGAAGTGAAGTAAAACTGAACTAGAACAGAACTAGAACTGTACTAGAACTGAACTGGAACTGAACTGAACTAGAACTAGAACTGATCTAGAACTAAAGTAAAACTGAACTACATTTGAACTAGAACTAAACTGAATTAGAACTTGAACTATAGAATGATTTATTGTCAAGACTGTAGATTGATCTTAAATTCTTTAACTCGCTATTCTTTTAAAATCCGTTAATTTTATTAACTAAGTTTTAAATTTAAGAAAAAAGACTTCAGATTTTTTTGTAAATATTTTAATTTTCAAATAGAATTTGAAAATATGTATTTATTTAAACCTAAATACTTAAACTAATTAAATTTTGTTTAAAACTTAAAAGAGAAAAAATGCAGTTTTGTTTTAAGAAAAGAAAAGTGTTTTAAAATAAAGAACCCATTTTTAAAGTTTTGTTTTTATAGAAATTTTTTCACTTTATTTTTAATATTTTTTTTTTGCTTTTAATTTTTTTTTATATTTCTTTTTTTAATATTTTTTTATATATTTTATTTTAAATTGAAAGAAATTTATTTTATTAGTTATTTTTTTAAAAAATATTTTTTTATATAAATGAATTTACCTTTTTTTCAGTTTTCTTGCTTTTCTTGTTTCCAAAAAAAATAAATATAATTTGTTGTACCATCAAATTAAAAAAAAGAAAAAACATGAAAAGTAAATGAAAAGGACACAAAAAAAAAAACGTAAAACTAATTAAAGATGTTAGAGAAAAGGAGTTTAGAAGTCGTTATTAAAAAAATAGGGAAATAGGGCAATGGAATAGAAAAATAATGGAAAATAATAAAAAATAATGTACTTCATTTTGTTTTTGTAAAGAAAATGGTGTCGCGGTTTACTCGTTGTTAAAGTTGTGTTGAGGGCGGCTGGTAGATTATTGCTGAAGTTGAAGTTATGTATTATGTAAAAAGAATCCTCTAGATGTAAGACCCTAAAATCCAGTGTAAAACCTTATTCAGAGCCTTCCTTAGGGGGGGATAGTTGTTGGTTGGTTGGTTGGTTGGTTGGTGGAATAACGATGTTTGAAAAAAGCTTTAAAGCTGTAAAAATAAATATAGATTTGTTTTTTTAATAACAATTAGTTTACCATTGTTATTATTGTTGTGTGAGTCTCTGTGTTTAGTTTTCTGTAGTTTTTTTCCTAAAATTTAAAGTTGAACACGTTGTTTGCTTAATAAACGATTTCATTTCCTTTGCTATTTTTTGATTCCAGATAAAACTCCTTTTTGTTATTGTTGCTGATCTTGTTTCTTTCATAAGTCCAGTAGTGTATTTTTTTGGGTGCAAATATTTTTGAATTTTTGTTTTTTTTTCTGAAATTTAAATGAAAAAAAGAGACAAAAATTCAGAATAAAATAGAAATTTAAATGGAATTTGAAATAAATAACTGAACTAAAACTGAACTAGAACTGAACTAGAACTGAACTAGAATTGAACTAGAACTGAACTAGAACTGAACTAGAACTGAACTAGAACTGAACTAGAACTGAACTAGAACTGAACTAGAACTGAACTAGAACTGAACTAGAACTGAACTAGAACTGAACTAGAACTGAACTAGAACTGAACTAGAACTGAACTAGAACTGAACTAGAACTGAACTAGAACTGAACTAGAACTGAACTAGAACTGAACTAGAACTGAACTAGAACTGAACTAGAACTGAACTAGAACTGAACTAGATGTGAAGTAGAACTAGAACTGAACTAGAACTAGAACTGAACTAGAACTGACTACTGAACTAGAACTGAACTAGAACTGAACTAGAATGAACTTAGAACTAGAACTAGAACTAGAACTGAACTAGAACTGAACTAGAACTGAACTAGAACTGAACTAGAACTGAACTAGAACTGAACTAGAACTGAACTAGAACTGAACAAGAACTGAACTAGAACTGTACTAGAACTGAACTAGAACTGAACTAGAACTGAACTAGAGCTGAACTAGAACTGAACTAGAACTGAACTAGAACTGAACTAGAACTGAGCTAGAACTAGAACTGAACTAGAACTGAACTAGAACTGAACTAGAACTGAACTAGAACTGAACTAGAACTGAACTAGAACTGAACTAGAACTGAACTAGAACTGAACTAGAACTGAACTAGAATGAACTAGAACTGAACTAGAACTGAACTAGAACTGAACTAGAATTGAACTAGAACTGAACTAGAACTGAACTAGAACTGAACTAGAACTGAACTAGAACTGACTAGAACTGAACTAGAACTGAACTAGAACTGAACTAGAACTGAACTAGAACTGAACTAGAACTGAACTAGACTGAACTAGAACTGAACTAGAACTAGAACTGAACTAGAACTGAACTAGAACTGAACTAGAACTGAACTAGAACTGAACTAGAACTGAACTAGAACTGAACTAGAACTGAACTAGAACTGAACTAGAACTGAACTAGAACTGAACTAGACTGAACTAGAACTGAACTAGAACTGAACTAGAACTGAACTAGAACTGAACTAGAACTGAACTAGAAACTGAACTAGAACTGAACTAGAACTGAAACTAGAACTGAACTAGAACTGAACTAGAACTGAACTAGAACTGAACTAGAACTGAACTAGAACTGAACTAGAACTGAACTAGAACTGAAACTAGGACTGAACTAGAACTGAACTAGAACTGAACTAGAACTGACTAGAACTGAACTAGAACTGAACAAGAACTGAACTAGAACTGAACTAGAACTGAACTAGAACTGAACTAGAACTGAAACTAGAACTGAACTAGAACTGAACTAACTGAACATAGACTGAACAAGAACTGAACCTAGAACTGAACTAGAACTGAACTAGAACTGAACTAGAACTGAACTAGAACTGAACTAGAACTGAACTAGAACTGAACTAGAACTGAACTAGAACTGAACTAGACTGAACTAAAACTGAACTAGAACTGACTATATATAATTAAACTAGAGTTGAACTAGAGATCACTTGCAACTTAATTATTTCATTCAATTTCCCCAATATTTACCTTTTTGTTTAAAATGTTTTCCAATTTTTTTTCTTTAATTTTTTATATTTTGTATTTAATTAATGTGGCTTTAAACCATTAGTCCTTATATCTAGATCCTTATACTACTTGGGGGGGTTAATTGGATAAGCCTTATTACACTGTTGGGAGAAAATTGTAAAAAAAAGTAAACGGAAAAGAGAAAAAGAAAAAATACAAATATTTAGTGGCGTTATTCACTTTACATATTTTATTAACTACTTTTAAAACTTAAAAAGTACTTTAAAAATAGATGTACGATAGCACTTACGATTTTCTTAAGTTTTTCTTATAACAAAAAACCCACTTAGACCTAGAAAAAGTTCTACTGAATGTTTTGAATAAGTAAACAACTACGAATGTTTTCAACTTTTACCAGTCAAGATATGTAACTTCTTTGTAACTGAAGGTTTTAATGTGTCATAAGAATAAAATCAAATTAATGAAATATTGATAAAAATAGAATACTTCGGATGATAAGGAAGGCAAACTTTAAATCAACAGTGTCCACTGCAATCCACTGTTCCCATGACCATCGAATATTCTCTTCATAATGATATGAATTCTAATCTCACAAATATTTCAACTCAGCAATCATATACTACAAAGTCGTTTCTCCAGGGAAGAACTTGTACTTCTGATCGAAACTTAAACCAATTTCTAACTTCTGTGGAATTGACATCTGTATAAACCCAACTAAACTTGAACTGATGTACAACAAACTATATATTAATTTAAATTGATCTTGATGAAAAACTAAAACAGAGCTCGAACCTTCATAGATGTGAAATGAATAAAAACTAAACTAGAACTTAAATAGAATCGAACAAAAACCGAATTGAAACAAATATAGAGTTGAACCAGAACTGAACTAGAACTGTACTAGAACTGAACTACAACCGAAGTAGAAATGAACTAGAACTGAACTAGAACTGAACTAGAACTAAACTAGAACTGAACTAGAACTTAACTAGAACTGAACTAGAACTGAACTAGAACTGAAACTAGAACTGAACTAGAACTGAACTAGAACTGAACTAGAACTGAACTAGAACTGAACTAGAACTGAACTAGAACTGAACTAGAACTGAACTAGAACTGAACTAGAACTGAAATAGAACTGAAATAGAACTGAAATAGAACTGAACTAGAACTAGAACTGAACTACAACTGAACTTGAACTGAACAACAACTGAAGAACAACTGAACAAGAACTGAACTAGAAATGAACATTTAACTGAACTAGAACTGAACTAGAACTAACTAGAACTGAACTGAACTAGAACTAGAACTGAACTAGAACTGAACTAGAACTGAAAGCTAAACTGAACCAGAACAGAACTAGAACTGAACTAGAACTGAACTAGAACTGAACTAGAACTGAACTAGAACTGAACTAGAACTGAACTAGAACTGAACTAGAAACTGAACTAGAACTGAACTAGAACTGAACTAGAACTGACTAGAACTGAACTAGAACTAGAACTGAACTAGAACTGAACTAGAACTGAACTAGAACTGAACTAGAACTGAACTAGAACTAGAACTGAACTAGACAACTGAACTAGAACTGAACTAGAACTGAACTAGAACTGACTAGAACTACTAGAACTGAACTAGAACTGAACTAGAACTGAACTAGAACTGAACTAGAATGAACTAGAACTGAACTAGAACTGAACTAGAACTGAACTAGAACTGAACTAGAACTGAACTAGAACTGAACTAGAACTGAACTAGAACTGAACTAGAACTGAACTAGAACTGAACTAGAAACTAAACTAGAAACTGAACTACAACTGAACTAGAACTGAACAGAACTGACAAAATAACTGAAACTAGAAATGAACTAGAAATGGAACTAGAACTGAACTAGAACTGAACTAGAACTGAACTAGAACTGAACTAGAACTGAACTAGACTGAACTAGAACTGAACTAGAACTGAACTAGAACTGAACTAGAACTGAACTAGAACTGAACTAACTGACTGAACTGAGCTAACTGAACTAGAACTGACTAGAACTGAACTAGAACTGAACTAGAACTGAACTAGAACTGAACTAGAACTGACTAGAACTGAACTAGAACTGAACTAGAACTGAACTAGAACTGAACTAGAACTGAACTAGAACTGAACTAGAACTGAACTAGAACTGAACTAGAACTGAACTAGAACTGAAATAGAACTGAAATAGAAACTGAAATAGAACTGAACTAGAACTAGAACTGAACTACAACTGAACTACAACTGACTTGAACGAACAACAACTGAAGAACAACTGAACTAGAAATGAACATGAACTGAACTAGAACTGAACTAGACTAAACTAGAACTGAACTGAACTAGAACTAGAACTGAACTAGAACTGAACTAGAACTGAACTAGAACTGAACTAGAACTGATCTAGAACTGAACCAGAACAGAACTAGAACTGAACTAGAACTGAACTAGAACTGAACTAGAACTGAACTAGAACTGAACTAGAACTGAACTAGAACTGAACTAGAACTGAACTAGAACTGAACTAGAACTGAACTAGAACTGAACTAGAACTGAACTAGAACTGAACTAGAACTGAACTAGAACTGAACTAGAACTGAACTAGAACTGAACTAGAACTGAACTAGAACTGAACTAGAACTGAACTAGAACTGAACTAGAACTAGAACTGAACTAGAACTAAACTAGAACTGAACTACAACTGAACTAGAACTGAACAAGAACTGAAAAAGAACTGAACTAGAAATGAACTAGAACTGAACTAGAACTGAACTAGAACTGAACTAGAACTGAACTAGAACTGAACTAGAACTGAACTAGAACTGAACTAGAACTGAACTAGAACTGAACTAGAACTGAACTAGAACTGAACTAGAACTGAACTAGAACTGAACTAGAACTGAACTAGAACTGAACTAGAACTGAACTAGAACTAGAACTGAACTAGAACTAAACTAGAACTGAACTAGAACTGAACTAGAACTGAACAAGAACTGAAAAAGAACTGAACTAGAAATGAACTAGAAATGAACTAGAACAGAACTAGAACTGAACTAGAACTGAACTAGAACTGAACTAGAACTGAACTAGAACTGAACTAGAACTGAACTAGAACTGAACTAGAACTGAACTAGAACTGAACTAGAACTGAACTAGAACTGAACTAGAACTGAACTAGAACTGAACTAGAACTGAACTAGAACTGAACTAGAACTGAACTAGAACTGAACTAGAACTGAACTAGAACTGAACTAGAACTGAACTAGAACTGAACTAGAACTGAACTAGAACTGAACTAGAACTAGAACTGAACTAGAACTGAACTATAACTGAACTATAACTGAACTAGAACTGAACTAGAACTGAACTAGAACTGAACTAGAACTGAACTAGAACTGAACTAGAACTGATCTAGAACTGAACTAGAACTGAACTAAAACTGAACTAGAACTGAACTACAACCGAAGTAGAAATGAACTAGAACTGAACTAGAACTGAACTAGAACTGAACTAGAACTGAACTAGAACTGAACTAGAACTGAACTAGAACTGAACTAGAACTGAACTAGAACCGAACTAGAACTGAACTAGAACTGAACTAGAACTGAAGTAGAATTGAACTAGAACTGAACTAGAAGTGAACTAGATCTGAACCAATAATGAATTAGAACACAGAACTTAACTATAGCTTAATTAGAACTGATCTGAAACTGTTGCGGAACTGATTTATAACTAATCTAGCACTGAGCTGAAATTGCAACAAAACTAGAATGAAATCACTCCCTAAACCAACATTTTTAGTAGAATTGAAAATTTAAACATTTGATAGTGTAACAAATTATTCTTTAAATATGTTAAAAGCAATTTAAAATAATTAAATTAAAATGAAAACCCTAAACCAACCAAAAAAATTAATTATAAAAATAATCGAAAAGAAAAATAATAAAGATAAAAAATTTTGAATTGGGTTTTTAAGTTTTTTTTTTTTTTTCTTTTTTTTTAATACTTTTCTTTTTTGATTTATTTTATTTTTATTTAAAAATATATAATTTTTTGTATAATTTTTTGTTTGAAATTGTAAAAAATTTTGTACTTTTTTTCATAAAAAACTTTTTGATTTTGATTTTTTTTTTGTTTTGTTTTTTGCTCTTTTTTTGTTTTTATTTTTTTAAGTTTTTTAGAAAATAAAAAAGTTTTTCGTATAATAAATATTAATAAAAAATATATCATATTTTATATAAAATAGTAAAGTTGTCCTAAAAAGATGTTTTGTTGGTAAATAGAATTGTAAATTTATATAAAAAAATAGGAAATATTTAAAGATAAATAATAGTTAAATGTTAAGAGATATTAAGAGGTGCTGATGTGATGAGAATTGCTAAATGATCTGATTAGAGTTCTATAATGTTTAGCAAGAAATTTGATTAAGAAACAAAACAACACAAAGAATACAACAAACACACAATATTGATGAAAAATCAAAGCAGAGTAATGAGGTGAAGTGAGAAATGTTGGAAGTATTGATGGGAAAGAAAGCAATCGTAAAAATATGTTGAATTTTTTTTTGAGAAAAGAAAAATCTGGTTTTAAATACAAAAAAATAAACTTACAAGTTATGGTTGTGGTTGTTGTAGCTGTAGTTCCAGTTGTTAATAATTCATCAACATCATCATCGTCATTAACAAGATCAACTATATGATTGTTAGAGTTGTTACTGTTGTTGCTATTGTTGGTTTGATTACTGGAATTGTTGTTGTTATTATTAATATTGGTATTGTTGTTGTTGCTGCTGCTACTATTATTATTGTTGTTGTTGTTGTTGTGTTTATTATGTGTATTTAAAGACGACGTCATCATGAAAGAGTTTGAAGAATGATGTTGCAAATGATGATGTTGCTGCTGTTGTTGTTGTTGTGTATGATGCAGATGATGTGGTTGATGATACAGATGATTGCTATTGTGATTATAAGTGGCTGATAAACGTCTTGGATTACGACCATACAAAGACGTTGCATTACACGACGACAACGCCGCCGAGGCAGACAAAGAAGAACTTGTGGAGGAGGAGGAGGAGGCAGCAGCAGAAGAGGAGGACGACGTAGCCGAGGAGGAGGTTAAACGTTGACAAAAAATGCTATTGGAATTGGCAGCTGCAGCAGCATTATTGTTTTTGCGAAATTTCTGTGTATTATGATGCGGTAGTGTGGCATGGGTCAGCAACGTATGTGTGGGTGATATAAGTGTGAATGGGGTAGTGAGGCCAGCGGTATAGTTGGCGGCGGTCACGAACATGCCACTTCAGCTGTGGGTTGTGTTTGAAGCCGTATTACTATTGCTATTACTGTTGCCTCCATTACTATTATCGGAAACCTCTTCCTGCTGTGGCGTCGTTGATTGCTGTTGTTTATTAAATGTTGGTGCCGTTTGTTGCTGTGAAGTGGGTGTGGTGGGTGTAGTATTACCACCACCTCCAGCATCAC